CGTCATGTCACCTGCTACTAATATGTGAACCAACTTGGAAAAGGCCAAATTGTAGAGGGTGTTCCAAGTAAAAGAGATTTCATGCTGCTACTTCTGTAAAAACCTACCAGATGGGCCCTCCCTGGTGGCGCAGCGGGTTACAGCACAGCACTGAGAAACTAAAGCCACTTCCGCATGAGTTCGATCCCCGCCTGCCCAGGAGGTGACCACATGGCGTGGCAGACCTCTCCTGACCCGCCCACTGCTCCCCTCAGCAGTGTACCTCGTCCATCTGCCTGTTCTGCTCCCCACTCTGTCTCTGGTGAAGCCTCTCGCCGCCCCTGAGCCTCTGGCCTGTACCCCAGTTCTGTATGCACAAATAAATAAATCTTTAAAAAAAAAAAAAACCTACCAGATGAATATGTATGTATTTAAATGAGTAGGAAACTTAAGTGGCAGACTTAAAAGTACTAATGAATGGAACCCCCGGTGAGTGTCAGTGGAAAGAGGTGGTCTTTTTACTTAGTACTCTTCAGTTTTGCTTGTATTTTTTAACCACACGAATGCATTCTTTTTGTAAATAAGCAATTGGTAAAGGGGAGAAATTACTTTTGAAGATCTCTGAAGCTGTAGAGAATGGTGTTTGAATTCTGGCTTCACAATCTAATAAACATGACGTTAGGCCCTGATTCCACCCCATGAACAAATTAACTTGCATCTTGGTTTCCTCATCTGTGAAGTAAAGATGACAATAATTACCTCAAAAGATCCTGATCAGGATTAAATAAGAAAATGCAAGAAAGCATTTAGTACAATTTTTTTCTCTTCCAGAAATGGCTCAGTTAACATCCGCTGACTTTTAAAACAGTTGTTAAAAGATCAAGCCCGTCAATCAAAGAGGTCGGACAGTGCAATTTTGTTTCCTTTAGAACAGTTGTCACTGAATTACTATTTGTGAGTCAGGCTTTGCCTCCACTGGGGTATTTCTGAGAAGTGGGCATGGGAAGCGGGCACTGGTAGCTCAGGTCCAGTGCCCAAGTGCAGAAGCTCCGGGGAACTAGGAGCTCAGTCTACCCCAGGGAGCATGGGGAATGACCCTTTGTGGTATTTTTGTTTATATAGTTTCTCTCACTCTTCCCAATGACTATTTTTATGTTAGAAAAGTGAACATGGGTCTTCAATGGGGGCACAGGGGTTAAGTCAGCACTGTCAAGCAATGGTCAGCCTCTGTGACATGAGTTTGCTCCCCAGCCATGGAGGTGACCCACATGGTGCAGCAGACCTCTCCTGTCTCGCCCACTGATCTTCTCAGTTGTATATTTCAGTAGATCCACCTGTTCTGCTCCCCACTCTGTCTCTGGTGACTCCTATTACACACCTCTAGCCTACACCC